AAAACCAAATTTTTTTGGATTACTGGAAGAAACGAGAAGGAAGGAAAAAAAAAAAAATCGGATTATTTTTTTTACTTATTTATTTATTTATTGGAAACGAATGAAAAAATATTTGGTAAATAATATAAATCAATTATTATCATTATTATTAATAATATTTTTTCGATTGGTTTGAAATCCCGGGATTTCAAAAAAAAAGATCCCCCTTTAAAAAAAAAATTTTTTTCTTTACATTTTTTTTTAACTTTCGAAATTCGGTTAAATTATTATCATTATTATTATTAAAGAATTACAGGAGTGATAGAGAGAGAGAGACAGAGACAGAGACAGAGAGAGAAAAAAATTCGATAGAAGATTTAATGGCGCGGGAAAAAGTCGAAAAAAAAAAAGAAAATCTAATGAAAGATTTAATTAACCGTCAGATTTAATAATCGATGAACGTAAAAAATTTTCTTGTTTTGTTGTTTTGTTTTGTGTCTCTGGAGAAATTCTGGAGAAGAAAAATAATGAGTGATGTGATATGGATACGCCATCGAGTAAAGCGCGGCAATGACGACGACGACGATGACAAAAACTTAAAAAAAAAAAAAAAAAATTTAGAGACGCTTAAGGTACCGCCACAACCCCCCCCCACAACCGATTCTTCCAGGAGGTGATTACTGGAAAAAGTAGCAGATGATAGGATGATGATGAAATTATGATAAATTTCCAGGAATCCAAAAACATTTTTAACAAAACGTTTAAAAAGTAGTCGAAAAACGAAAAAATGAAAAAAATGTTTGTTGTTGTTTAAAAATAAATTTCGTACAAACGTGTGTTTAACGGTTGTTGTTGTTGTTGAAACAATCCGGGGGAGGAGGGGGTGGAAAAAATTATTTAATTTTTCTTTTGACTTGAAAAAAAAAAATTCTTCTTCTGGAAAAAGAAAGAAAGAAAGAAAATTGCCAAAAACGTTTCCTTCCTTGGATTTTACAAAAAAATTGTTTTCATTTTTGCCATCAACAATTATTTTTCCATTTCGACGATTTTCCTTCGTTCCAGGCCAAATGATGATAATAATAATAATAATAATGATGATGATGATGATAAAATAAACAACTCGAAGTCTCGAAACTTTTTTTAATTTTTTTTTAATTTTTGGATAAAAGCCGTTTGTTTGTGTGTTTGTGTTTGTCCATTTGTGTTAAGTTTGAATTGAAAAAAATTTTAGGAGAGGGTTGTAGGGTAGGTTAGGGGGAGAGGGGTAAATATGGAAAATTCCAGAGAGTTGGGGGGGATGGAAAAAAACTGTTCTTATATGATATGGAATGGAAAGAAGCGCAAAGTTGATTTTTTTTTTTTTTTCAAAGAGTAAAATTTTTGAGTCATTAAAATTAAATTATCTGGTCTTTTTGTTATGTTTTCTCTCTCTCTCTCTTTTTGCATTTTTTCCCAGTTTTTGTTTGTTTGTTTGTTTGTACTCTCGTCCGAGTTCGTTGGAATCTGCGATAATTTTTTAATTTTTTTTTTTTTTATATTTGCGAGTTAGAAAATTAAAAGTTTCCGCGAGAAAAATTTCAGAATGTTAAAACTCGACAAACGAAAAAATTTAAAACAAACGGTTGTCGTTTGTTTGTTGATTTTTTATATTATTTTTAAAGGCCGTGTTTATAAAATTTTTTTTCTTTACATTTTTTTTTTTTTTTTTTTTTTTGTGATCGGGAGACAAAGTGTAAATAAAAGAAAAGATACGATGATAATTTTTTACGGGAAAACAAACGATGCGGTTGTTGTTGTTGTTGTTGTTATCGTTTTATTATAATTAATAATTGAAAAATTTGCTTTATTAATATTAACGAATTACGATATCGATTCGCTTCATTTTTTTTTATTTATTTCTCCATCACTTTTTTTTTCTCCCTTCATAATCTCTTTGGCGGTTTTCTCTCTCTCACTCTTTCGATTGTTCGTTTGTTCGTTCGTTTAAACCCTCATTCCACCCTCCCCCTCCCTCCCGTTTGAATGAAATATTTAAAACGTTTTTTTTTTTGACAAATTACATATCGATTAACTGGCACAGTGAGTCGTTATATAAATAAATACGCACAGGTTGTTAGGGCAACGTTGAAACTCTAACAAACAAACAAACAATAAACGGAACACAAAAAACTCGTTGGCACGATTTCGTTATTTTTTTTCCTCTCTGTATCCACGTTAATTTAATCAATCGTTGGTCGTTTTACCAACCACCCCTTCCCCGCCCTCACCCTCGACTTCCCCCCCTAAATTTGAAAAATCGGTTGGAAAAACAAAACCAAAAACAAAAAAAAAACGATTGTTTTTTTTTTGTTTTGTTTTTCTTCCGCCATTTTTTTTTCCTTTTCCAGCTTTTCGATGTTTTTTTCCTCATTTGCCCCCCTCCCCCCTCTCGGCAACGCCAATCCCCTACACAAGATTCTTTTTTTTTCCAGACGTTTTTCCAAATTATTATTTTATTTCTTTTAAGTTTGTGATTGATCATTTCGTGTCTGGAGGGCTTTTCTTTTTCGTTTGTTTTAATTATTGAAATTTTTTATGGGAGGGAGAGGGAGGGAGGAAGGGAGGGATGGAGGGGAGGGGGAAATTAGCGGGAAAAAGAAAATTTTAAAAATCTGTTATTTTTTTTTTTTACAAATAATTTCAGAATCGTATGACGTTTTTCAGAAAATCTATCGAATATTCGATTTCGGTTTGATGTTGTTGTTGTGGTTTGTTGTTGTCGTTGTTGTGTGGTTGTTGTTGTTGTTGAATGCCACATTTAAAGATTAAAAAATTTTTTCGTTGGAAAAAAAAAATAGAAAATTCCGTCGGTAAATTTTTCTTCAGGTTTTGTTTTATCATTTATTATTTTTTTTTCTTCCCCCCGCCCCCTCCGACAAAACACTTTTATCTCTTTTCCGTTTCCGGTATTTCTTTCTTTCCTTTTGTATTTGTCATCATTATTATTAACTCAAGAAATTTTATTTATTCATTTATTTATGTTTTACCGTTGATAAAAAGTTTTTGTTTTGTTAAAAATTTTTTGGCGACAAAAGTTACGATTGAAAACAAACGCGCACTACTTTTTTTTTTTTATTATTATTTTCACGATTGATAAACAAACAAACGGACAAACAAACAAATATACGTAGAAATTTAATCGAACGAAAAAAAAAAAAAACATTTTTTTCTCGTGACTTCAAAAAAAAAAAAAAGAAAAATTTTTTGTTGTTGTTTGTTGTAATGGGAAACTCACGAACGCGAACGCGAAAAATTGTCGCACGTTTTATAAAAAAAAACGTGCCACGTTTAAAAATCCCCCGTAATTTATTATCATTATTATTATTATTATTAATAAAATTTTTTTACCGTTTGTTTCTTTTTTTTTTATATAGAACGAGAAACGATCGACGATGATGATGATGATAATAAATTAAAATTAAAAAATAAAAATAAAAAAAAATTTTTTTACACTTTCTAATTTTTTAACAGGTACGACCTTTTAAAAAAACAACCTTGAACGATTCAGTTATAATAATAATAATAATATTGATGATTACGATGATGATGATGATGTACATTGCCATAATATTAAATAATAAATGCCTTAAAAAGGCTAAGGTTACATAAAAAAAAAGGCGTTATAATCGAAAACATTCACTCCCACCTTGTAATAAATCGAAGGTTTTCATCATCATCATCATCATTATCAGCATCATCATTATTATTATTATTATTATCGTTATTATTATTATTATTATTTTAAATTAAATTTTCGAACCTGGGAAAATAGAAAAGTAGGTAAAAAAATAGGTTTTTTTTTTTCATTTCATTTCGATACGATAACTTAATGCGATTATTATCATTATTATTATTATCACGATTATTATTATTATTATTATTATTATTATTGAAATTTGGGATAAATGAAAATTATTATTATTATTATTATCGTCATCGTTCGTCGAAGTCGTCGTTGTCGTCGTCGTCAATACGAATAAAAGAAATTTCTTTAAAAAAAATTGTTTACGCTTTTTGTTTGTTTGTTTGTTTGTTTGTTGTTTGTTTTAAATTCGTTTTGCGGATGAAAAATAATAATAATAATAGGAAAATAGAAAAGAAAAGAAAAATTTTTTATTTATTTATCGTATATATAGAGTCGTCGGGAAAAATCAGGGAAATGAAAAGGTTCGGAAGGAGACGAGATGGAGGAGGAGGAAGAGGAGTAGGGAAAAGTCGTCGGGGGGTAGAAAATAGGAGAGGGAAGGGAGGGGAGAGGGTTTTTGTTGAAAAAGGAGACATTTTTTGTTGTTGTTGAAATAAATACATGAAAGAAAATAAATATTTTTTTTTTGTGTGTGTGTGTGTGTGTTCGTTCCACGATGAGAGTTTAACTTTTCCTTTTTTTTCCATTTTTTTTCCAGAAGCTTTTCCGTCGGTTATTAAATTTCATTTTTTATATATTTTTTTTGTTTCTTTATCCTTTCAAACGAAATAATAACGATGGGGGAGATTACGGGGGGGGCGTTTTTGGCGTTTTTTAAAAAAAGAAAGAGAATTTTCAGGCACGATACGGTTCGATGTTACACGTCGATTTGATGTTTACGAAGCAGCCCTCCCCCAACCTCCCTACTAATATTCGGTAACAGAGACACGTTCGCCGCCCGCGAATAAATTGAAATTTTATTTATATATATATAAAATTTTCCGGTTACGAAATTGAATTTTTTTTTTCTATTGACACGAACACGAAAAGGATTTCGTTTTTTTGTTTTTTAACAAAGCGTCAGAAACGTTTTGGAAAATTTTTGTTTAAAAATTATTTTCATTATTATTATTATTTTTAATTTTTTTTGTTTGTTTGTTTCAGGTTTCGTGATTTTTCCAAACAGGAACGTATCCAGGAAAAATGATATGATATATATTAAAAAGTGAATCTATCGATCCGTTTTCGTGTGTTTAAAAAAAAAAAAAAATCAAATCGTTTTGCGACGATGGAAAAAATGACAATATTAACGAGGATTGGATTTTGGTTGTGTTTAACGGGATCATTTCCGGTTTCGTACACTTCTCCAGTTAGTATACAAAATGGCGGATACGAAGGGATCGTCGTTGGTATATCGGAAGATGTGCCAAATGAAAATTGTCGGACGATCATCGATAATCTAATGGTGAGTTTTCTTTTTATTTTTTCTCTCTTTCGTTTGTTTGTTTCGTGCCACGTTTTTTCCCTTTAAGGTGATTTTTTTTTGTTTCATCGCGTGTGACGTTTTTACATCCCTTTTTAAAAAAAATACCTTCCAGCGACTGTCACTGGAATCGGTTCCCCAGTATTGGAAATTTATATTGCGCGTGAAAAATTTGAAAATTTTTTTTTTATTATTTCCACGTCCGAATTTCACTTTTATTATTTCTCATCATCATTATCATCATCATCATTGTTTTTTTAAGGATATTTATTTTAATTCGTTTTTCGTGGTTTTAGACACTCGCTCGTTCTTTTGCTTTCTCTCTACCTTATTCGGATTATATTTTTTATTAAAGAAGTTCGGGGGGGGGGTTTAGTCGCGTGATTTTCTCCAGTCACATTCTTACTATCAGTAGTATTTCTACGTAAAGAGAGAGGAGGGGGGCAAAGGGGGGAATGTCGCCGTTTTTTAAAAAAATGCGTTTCTCTCTCTTTTTTTGGCGGTAATAAATTTTTTCAGGTGCGAGGTTCGTAATTGAAATTTTTTTTTTTTCGTTTTCACCCGAAAGCAAATTATCATCATCATCATTATTATTATTATTACTAAATTTAGTTGGAAAAGTAAACCAGCTCATGATGAAGAGATGAATCGCAAAAGACAAACAAACAAACAAAAACATTAATTGAAAACAATAATAATAATAATAATTTCTTTTATTGTTTTTTTTTTCGGTAAAATTTTTGCTCGAGCGCTGGAGAAAAAAAAATTCTCTGGAACTCGTGACTGACAAAGTTAAAACTTTTTTTTTTTGTTTGTTTGTTTTCGTATCGGGGTTTTAGAAATTCTAAATAAATTTTATTTTTTTTTATCGTGATGATGATGATGATGATGATGAATAGGCATAATCCGTTGATTTTTATTAATTTTTTTTTTTATTATTTTCCTCCTCGAACTGGAACATTCGATGAAATTTTCATTATTATTATTATTTGGTTATTAAATTGTCACGTGATTTTTTTTTGAAATTGTCATCGTGATCGTGTCACGAATTAAAACGATCGACCGTGACCGTGAGTTTCATTCATCTTCGAGAAAAAAAATTTTTTTTTTTTTTTGTTTTCCGGAGTCTCAATTTTCCAGGTTGAAATTATTTACGTTCAGGTATTTTAAACAAAAAAAGAAGAAGAAGGCGTGGAGGGGGAGGGAAGGGGAGGGAACGAATGAAAAAAATGTTTGAACGATATCGTCGTAAAAAAAAAGGTCAAAAAATGATCGATACCCGTTACTTAATCGTTAAACAAGAATGTTTCATTGATGTGTGACGTCACAAAACTCGTCTGTCTCTCTTGTTCCTTCCGTGTCATCATCATCATCATCATTATTATCGTGATAAACCGTTATTGTTAAAGATTCTGTGCCACGTTCCAGTTACTTATTTTCGATCGTTCATTTGTTTGTTTGTTTCCTCATATGGAATTATGAATTTCTAATGATAGTAAAAACAACAACAAACAACAACAACTGCCAAAAGGAGAAAAAAAAAAGTTTAAGACAAATTAGTGGGTTAATGGTTTTCTATGTAAAAGAGAGAGAGAGAGAGAGAAAGTGAATGTGGAATAAGGAGAAAAAAAAAAGAAAACAATACGTTCATTAAGAGGTCGTAAATCGCAAAGATGCGGCGGATGTTTTATTAATTACGTTGAAAAAATGTCGTGGCAAAAGAAAAAAGTATTTTTTTTTTTTAATTTTTATACGTCGTCGACGCGTTTCGTAAGGGAATATTTTTGTTTTTTTTTTTTTTCGGATCTTATATCCGCCGACTTCCGACTCATTCAATTTTTCGTTAAACACGGTAGCTCATCGAAAAGTTAAAGACACGACGCGAAATAAAAAAAAAAAAAAACCAGAAAAGTGAGTTTTTTTTTATTTATTCATTATTTCTCATTAATTAAATTAATTGGATAAGGTATCGATTTCCGTTATTATTTTTAATAATATTCTATCTGATTCCACGATGTTTTTTTCTGTCGTCGTCGTGCTTACGTTTTTTTTTTTTTTTAAATTTTTTTAACAAACTCGAATGAATTTAAATAATAATGAAATTTGTTTTTTGTGATTGACGTTGAACGTGGTACTAAAAAAAAATTTTTTTTATTCTGCGTCCACGTTATTTCGTACGAAAAGTAGGTTTATCCGTTATTACAACAAAGCCGACCGTTTTTTATTAACAACAATATCCTGCGGTTTTCATTTATTTTTTTTTTTTTTTTAAGAGAATTTCTCTCATTTCCGTTTTTTTTTGTAATCGCGGTCTTTACGCCGCCGATAACACGCATGATATGATAACAAAAAAAAAAAGGAAAACCGAACGTGAAATTACCTCTACGTACGACGAAGAGAGAGAGAAAAAGAGAGGGGCGGGGGGAGAGAGAGAGAAAGGTGAAAAAATTTAACAAAATGATATGGGAAATAAAATAAGATATTATGCGTATCTGATGAATGACTTTTGCCATTTCCACGTGGTAGTAGAAAAAAAAAAAGTTTTCATTTCATCATCATCATCGTCATCATGGCGAATGTTATTATAAAAAAAAAATGATTGAAAATTGGAAATGATGATGATGATGATGATGATGATCGAGTTCGTTAAACTCTCATTTTCGACATTTTTCCCCTCTCGTTTTATTCCATTTTATTTTGCCGCGTTATGGAATTTTTATTTGCCGCCCTTTGTCGCCATTTCGCAACTTTTTTTATTTTCTCTTAAATAATTTATTCGTAATCGGCCTCATCATTTTTTTAAAAAAAATATTCTATCAGGTTGTTTTGACATTTAAAAAGGTTGCAAAATTTTTTTTCTCTTTTTTTATTTAAAGATGAAGTCGACCTTTTTATTTTTTTATTTTTTGCATTTGCCGCGAGGTATTTAAATTGCGTTTAACATCTCTATGACTTTTTTTCCCTCCATTTGAATTATTATCGTAATAATTATTACGGGATTCTTTTTTTTTTTCTTCTCTATATTGACATTTCATGTTATGATTTTTTTTTTTTTTCTGTTTTGACTATTTGAAACCTTGAATTATTAATTTAGTTCTCTCTCTATCTCTCTCTCTTTTTCTATTTTTATTGTAATAATAATAATAAAAAAAGTGAAATGTTTAACCTTATTCCTTTAGATTCTTCGTACTCGATGATTACAGCCGAGTTCTCTCTCTCTCTCTCTCCTTATGTTTACTCTCTTTTCATTCAAGGTCGGATTCAGGTTTTCCATTTGCCCTTTTCTTTCTAAATTTTTTTTTTTTTTGGTATTTAAAAAGTTTTTAATTGTCGGGTGAAAGGAACGTGCGTACGTGTGTGTGTGCGTGTGAGTGCGTGTGGTTTGTGATTCACGGTACGTTAAAAGATGATTTTTCTGTCTCTCTCTCTTTCTCTCTTACACACACAACACCTACAGTTTATTTACAGTTATTTTAATTTCATTTAATTTTTTTTTTTTCGGGGGGTATTTGATCCTCATCACCATCACCATCACCGCCGCCATCATCATCATCACAATCCACAATCTTCGTCTCGCGGTTTTTAATTTCTTTGCGGGTAGTAGGAGCTACCGGTAGCGGTAAAAGTAGTAGTGATGGTGATTGCGAGATTTGATTGTATTATTATTATTTGGTTATTGACACGATAGAGAAAAATTACTTACGGGTGAGGGGGGGAGAAATATTGTTTAAAAGTCGTTGCACACGTCGTGGGATTTGTCGTCCTTTTTGTTTTCTTTATAAAAAGTTTCAAGCGGGTTTTCTGGGGAAAAAAAAACTGATGATTTTTAAAATAATAACAGGAGGGTAAGGAAGAGGAGAAACGGCAACAGCTACAGCAACAGCAAAAATTCAATAACTTTTCTCTTTTAAATTTGTTTTTGATGTTTATAAAATTATTAATGTTGCCTTTGGGATAAATAATTTAAAAAATAAAGTGACAATGATGAGGAGTACAAGTTGTATTTGTTAAAACTTTTTAAACAAACAAATAAACAACTAAAGGAAAGTTAAAAAATGAGAAGAAGAAAACAAACAAACAAACAGACGGCGAACAAACGAACAAATAGCGATTTGAATGAGTTATTGGTGACCCGCGTGCCACTTTTTAAATTTATCTCTTTCCCGCAATCAATTTCCTTTAATTTTTTTTCTCTTTCTCTCTCTCTCTCTTTCTTTTGCTCTCTCTCTCTCTCTCTCTCATTAACTTAGGAGCTTTAAATTTTTTTTTTTTTTTTCAAAACTCCATTTTATATTTACGGAGTGAATGTGCGGTGGGATGAAATCCCTGAGTGGTCAGAACGGTAAACAAAATTCGAAAAAGGTTCATGACGTAGTTTTTGAAAACGTTTTTCTTTTTCCCCCTTCTCCCCTCTCCCCCTCTTTCTCTCTCTCTCTCTCTCTCTCTCTCTCACAAGAGCTCCAGTAATTAAACGAAACGCGTCGAACAAAGTTTTTTTTTTCCCTCACAAATGAAATTTTCAAGAGGTTTCAATTTAAAAAAAAGAAAAAAAGGAAAAGAAAAAAGAAAATGTGATTTAGAAAATTTTCACAGGAAAGAATTTTATGTGTTGGTGGTATGAAATTAGGCAACGCTGTTTTCTATTCGGGCGGCAACGATACGAACGGAATTTTTTATTTTTTTTTTTTTACCGTTTGTCTGAAAATGTGTAAAAATGCGTTAATGCTTTTCACGTAAAAAATTTTTCTCTTTTACTGATTGAAGGATTTTCATTTGTGTTTGTTTGTTTGTTTGATTCGATTTTTAAAAACAAACAAACAAACAAGAAAATACGAAGAAGCAGAAAAATGAAGGCAAAAAAAAAAAAATTTTTTTTATTATCGATTTTATTACATAGAGAAAAATTCTTTGTTCGAAAAAAAAAAATTTTTTTTTTTATCCTTCAATTATGTTTTTTAAAACGAAGACGGATGATGTTAAAATTTTTTTTTTTTTTTTATTTGCTGACGTGTTTGTTTTGTTTGTTTGTTTGTTTTTGTTTCCTATTGTTTTTTATTTTTTTTTTTTTTTAACAACAAAAAAAAATTTTTTTTGCATTTTTTATGATTGTTTTTCTTTCCTGTAGATGGTTTTTTTTTTTTTTATATATAATCCAACAGTAACAAATGTTTGTTTGTTTGTTTGTTTTCTTTTGTTTTCAATTATTTATAAGGACAAATGAGGAAGGTGAATGAAAAAGAAAAAAAAAAAAAAAAAAGAAAAATTAGTGTTTGTTCGCAAAACTCTTTTAAAAGAAAATGAAAAAGTAAAGAAAGGAAAAAAGGAAAAAAAAAACTTTTCAAACGTATTATTA